TGCCATTTTGAAACAAGAAGTTAAATCTATTATCATATTATACTCATAAATGGAAGGAAACCAACGAGTTTGAGAGGAGTAAGCTATCTAGGGCGGTGAAAATAAATAATAAACGTAGGTTATACCTGGGTGAGATTCTCATTCCGAATGATTTTTAAAAACTTTAGAAAATTACTGTAGAGCAGTTCAAAAGCGTCTGGGATTGACAAGTAATTGTTTAGGTTTTATATAATAAGACAGTGCCCACGCATCTTAAATGTAAACAAAAATCGAAAGTTTATTGATGGAAAGGGTGACAAATTAAGTTTGCAACATCAGAATGCTTAGCCAGGGGAAAATTTATATTACGATTCTTGGTAGATAAGTGAGTAACAACAGTTATTTCATCATAAAAATAAATGATTTTATTTTTTCAAAAAAATAAAATAACAGTTATATGCAATATTGTTAACTAAAATACTTTTTATAAATTGGTTTGTTTTCTTCCTTCTTTAAACATTTTATTTTTACGGCGCTTGATTCCTCCAACCTTACGACCTACTTCCGTATGGATCTCTCTTCCAGGCTACCTATGTTGACATTGCCTTTGAAGGAGACTTTAGAAGAACCAGATGTAAAACCAATGAAACAGGTAAACATTTTTTAAAATGTTTGTTTACATCAAAAGCACATACTTATGTATTATCAACAAGACCCGAGTGAGTTTAACTTTGCTTTTACAGAATTCTTAAGGCTTAGGAAGGTAAGCCTTTTAAATTGTATCACTTCCTTTAGAGTGCATGCTCCCCAAGCATAGATTATACTGGCCTTTCTCTTCTTAAAAGGTATTACTCTCAGCTTCAATTGCTTAAAGGGAGGTTTGAACTTTCAAAGAATGGTATTGCTTGGACCTGGTAAGATATAAACCTATATCTTTGATGGGCTTAGGAAGGAGTTATTTCATTCCGACGTCAACACTACGAGCGAAGAGATATCCTACGAAGAATCTGCAACTATGTACAACGTGGCAGCTCTTCATACTATACTTGCTGCGCGAGAGACTCGCAAGACCGCTGATGTTCGTGCATAGTTATATCTTATCTATTATGTTTCATATTCTTTTAGCTTAATTATATTATTCCTTTTATGTTTTGTTTTCCCTACATCAAATAATATCCCTTGTTCACCAGCAACCTTCGTATATTCAACATATCCTGAATGAGTTACGGGCTACCTTTATATTAGTGCTTAGCTATGCTAATTAACTGAAAAACAAGATAAATATTGCTAACAAGCCATATTTTTTCAACTTTTTCATGTTGTTGCATACTATATTTTCAATTCTTCATGCTACAACTCCGAAGATAATGTTCTCATTTATTTATCCTTTATTTGGCTCAGCGCCTTTAGCTCTCTTCTAAATTAGACTTTTCTTTTTCAGAGATTTAGCCCGTCATTTTCTATCTGAAATCAACTTTGAATTTTATTATAAGAAATTTACTGTCCTTTCGTTAATGTACTCGCAACGATGTTAATTTCTACCTTAGAGTATGAAGGTTGCCTGTACACACTATCAGAGTGCTGCTTGGGCCCTTGATACAATCGTGGAAAGATACTTTTCAACTGAGCTGAGTGACCTGAATTCAGACCTGATTAAGCATTTAGCTGCAGTTATAATGGTAAGCTTATTCCTACATTTGTGTTTTAATCTTAAGATTTATCTACCGTTTATTTAAAGTGTAATACGGGAATTTTTATTTTGAGTTGATGAATGATACAATAGGTAGAGTCTTCGTTTTTGTGTAGCCGATAGAAAATTTCTGAGATGAGCGATAAGTCCTCTATACCTTATTTATTTAATGCCCTTGTCAGTTTTTGAGTCCACTTTTTGTAAGATAATCTATTTCTTTTCGTTGAATATTTATACGAGTGCTTATTTTTAGGGTTTCCCATATCTTGGAAATAGTTTTATTGCCAAATGCATCTATTTCTCCTGAAAGGGGAGTTTTAAAAATAATATTTATATCTGAAAGTGTGAGAGTTATTTTCAAGACAATGTATGAAGATCACTCGTTAGTCGGAAGTTTTAAAGGATGACATTTAAAGAGCCTGGTTAAAACGTAAATTTATCATAATAAGTTATCGTTCGCATTACTTCGTGACCAAGCTATTTCTAAGCATGCTTAGTGTAAATGAGGGGTATAGATAAATTGCAGAAGCAGTAAATCTTCCCATTTTTCATCAGAACAATATTTTAAGGGATAACACTAAAATAGAGTTAACTAAGAAAGAGATTTGCTATATTTCTCTTGTAAAGTTTATTCCTAAATACTCGATCTGAAATCTGCTTTGGCCACGACCGTTAACCTCTTTCCTGCGGTAACTTCTTTATTCATTTTGAATCTTTTCACGATGAATTAAAGTGAGTCTTGATATTTTTCTTAGCACTATTTCTTCACGCTTCCCTAAAAAGTCGTTCTCTTCCATGATCTAATATTTACTTATTAACCTAAGCATATATGATTATAATCCCAAAACTGGGAACCCAAGTTCATACTTTAAAGTACATTGGGCAGTGAAATTCATTAGAATATTTTGGCCTTCCCTTTAATGCTTTTGTAGTCTATATCCAATAAAATTTTTCGAAAATGTTGCGGTTGCAAAACGAACTTCTGATAACTACATTGTGGTTTATGACAATGTTTTAACTTTTCAATTACTGCTTATTTTATATTGGATATTGCTTCAATGCAATTTATCGTTTGTCGTCCATTACTTTTCAATTTCGCTCTACCTGGGATTATTTCACTAGCTCACTATCACAAGAG